GAGTTTCACCACATTTTACAAGTTGGCTACGCCCACCCAGTCACATGGCTGGCAAGCCACTCCCACCCAGTCACATGGCTGGCAAGCCACTCCCATCCGGTCACATGGCCAGAAAGCCACTCCCACAAAGCAGGTCACACCTACAGAAGATATTCTAAAAAAAATTGAAACCCACACCTGATGTGAACCCATGAAATTGTCTGCATACTCAGCCACAGAATTCCTTGTACAGGGAGTCTTCAACTTACAACCACAATTGGGACAAGAAAATCTGTGGCTAAGCAAGTGGTGATTAAAGTGAGTGGTGCTTCGTGTTACGACATTTTTGCCACGGTTCTTAAGTGAATCACTAAAGTTGTGAAGTGAATCATGTGGTCCTTATGTGAACCTGGCCTCCCCCATTGGCTTTGCTTGTGGGAAACCGTCTGGGAAGGTCGCAAATGGTGCTCACATTAATCCTGGGATGCTGGTGCTACCATTATACATACATGCTGGTTGCCAGGCGCCCAAATTTTGATCATGTGACCCTGGGGAGGAGGCTACAATGGTTATAGATGCAAGGACAGGTCGTAAGTCACTTTTTTCAGTTTGATGTACTTTTGAATGGCTGCTAAGCAAATGGTTGTAAGATGAGGATTTCCTGTATGTAGCAATAGTTAAGAATCACAAATAGATTTACTTTCTATTTGAATATATCTCAATGCAAAAAAAACCAAACCCAACCTTTTCCTGGAGACCCTACATTTCAAGATTAATGTTGTGGGCTGCCAGCAGAGAAGGAGGTTGGGGAGGAACATGGGCCAGTCCTGGAGTTTGGGGAAAGCTCTGATGAGGGCTCTGCATCAGAGGAAGAGAGGGTGCCAGGGCCATATGCCAGTTATCAGCTGCCTTCAGAGTCAGACATCAGTGAGGCAGCTGGAGCCTGTTCCCAGTGTGCGCATGCGTAGAGTTGCTCGATGAAGGGAACAGCTAAAGAGCAGAGGTCAATTTGGGAGTAAGGCCACAGGTGGACGATGAATGGCCCCTCTCATAGGGAATAAAAGAGGAGCAAAAGGGGAATGGAGTTTGCAGGAGATAATAAGATCGCTTAATTGGTTAGTGACTCTCCGAGTCTCCTTGCCAAATTCTGCAGATATCGGCTTGTCAGCTTTCCAAGCCAGATAAGGTCTATGACTGTAAATCCTTCTTTGAAAGACGCAGAATTCAGAGTCAATTAAGAAAAGGGTTTTTTGCCAGGACCAGGAGTTTCCTTCATGCTCTTGGGAAGCCTAGGTCAGAACAGTTAAGCTCCATCCTAACAACCAAATATTTTTATTTCATCATCATGATGGTTTTGATCAGGAGCCAGAAATAGCATTACCATGTATGCATTGGTGGACATAACTAAACCCAGTTGTTGATAAATCATTCTGGAATTTTCCTTTCTTCCTTGATTCTCACCCTGCTTTAGGATTGTCCTCCTGGGTCAAAAGACTTCCGAGAGGTTCAATGTGCAGAATTCGATCACATCCCCTTTCGGGGCAAATATTACACCTGGAAGACGTACCGAGGGGGTAAGTGTAGCATTTTCTAATAGCTTCAACATCCACGTGGCCTTAATATAAGCGGAAGTTAACCAATTTTGTAGAGTGGGATGTTTTTTGCATAATTGTCCAACTGTGTTTTGTTTCCAGGGTAACTTATTCCAATCCTGTGTGTGCTTTTCTGTGTTTTCTCTCCAACAGTCAGTGAGAATTCCATGCAGGTTGAATTCTAAAGGCCTTAAATGTTTTTCTTAGGAAGGTTTTGAATTGGGTTGGGGTTTTATGCATGGTATGTAAAGTTTAACACTCAGAGAATTGAAGCTGCTATTAGCACATTTGCAAGAGGCATGATGGCTCAGCGCAGGGGTGAAATCCTCTTACCCTTGCTACCGGTTCGGTAGCAATGTGAGCGCACAACGTGCATTCCCGTCACCTATAGGACCTTCTGTGCATGTGCAAAGCACGGCTGCAAAGGTAAGTGAACGGGGGGACGGGCGGAATCTGCTGTGCCACGTGATTTAGATTAGCTAAAAAGCAGGAAATCGGGCGAATGGGTAGCATTTTTAGTACTGGTTTGGGAGAACTGGTCCAAACTGGTAGCATTTCACCCCTGGCTCAGTGGTTAAAGACACTGAGTATGTCAACTGGAAAGCTGACAGCCTGAGTTTGAGACACAAGCACTGCGTTGCAGGCTGAGCTCCCATTACTTGCATTCGCTCCTGCCCATCTAGCAGTCCACGTAAATGTGAGTAGATGAATAGGTACCACTTCAATAACAGTTCTGTGCACCTCAGTGTATAGTCATGATGGTCACATGACCACATCCTGTAAGTGTCTTCGGACAATATTGGTGCCCTCGTCTAAGAAATGGAGATGAGCATCACCCCTCCAAGAATCAGACTCAACTGGACAGGGGAAACCTTTTCCTTTATTAGCATATCTAACAGCTACTCTCATGGTCTGTAAACAAAGGATGCCTTATCTCTGGGGTCAGCAATCCATGGCTCTGGAGCCGCATGTGGCTCTTTCATCCTTCTGCTGTGGCTCCCTTTCTCCAGTTGGCTCCACAATTGATAGGGCTTTCGGTTAGGATAGGTAGAGGAAAAAGGACGCCCTGCTAGGAGGAGACTCTATGGTGGGGGAACCGGACTTCCAGTCAGCTCCAGAATTGAACGGGGGGCTTCCAGTTAGGACCTTTGTGGCTCTTTGAGTGTTTAAGGTTGCCGACCCCTGCCTTATCCTATCTGACTCCTGCCAACTGTAGAATATTGTATTCTTACAGGCCAGCCTAACTGACCAATCAGTCCCCTCATTTGGACCAATCGAGACGTGCTTGTGGCCCTCCAGGGTACAATTGCATTTAAGCAATAAAAACACAAAGTTATTGGAAGTGTTAAATCACTTTTCACTCATCCATTTATTGCTTTGGGATTCTACTTTGTCCTGCAGTCTCCTCCTAACTTTTGAAGGACATAATGTTCTTTTTAAATGCTTTCAAGGTTGTTGAAAATTTGCCTTTTCTCTATCACCCTCTTTATAAGTAAACAATTGGCTTATGTTTATTGTATTTTGAGTTATTTTTTCTTATAAAAAGGCTATATTTAATATAGTTGTGAGATCCAACTGGAAAATAGCCTGGGAGAAAAACTGAACTTTTAATAACTTATTTCACCTTTACCGCTTTGAATCTTAATATCTTCTGTTAAGCAATGGAGTAGTGAGGAGTTGCTATGTCTTAAGGCATCAGTTGGCCTTAATCCAGCTGTGCAAATAGAGAAAAATGAGACATACCATATTTTTCGGAGTATAAGACACATATTTTTCCCACAAAAAAGAGGCTGAAAATCTGGGCGCGTCTTATACACTGAATACAGTATTTTTGGCCTCCCCAAACCCCGCCTCCTTCACCAAAATGGCAATTCATAGCTTTTAGGAGGCTTTCAGAGAGTTCCTGGGGGCTGTGGAAAAATGGGCAAAAAACAGGCCATTTTTTGCTCGTCCATCCCCCCCCCCCAAGCACTCTACAAGCCTCCTAAAGGCTATCCATGCCTTTTTTAAAAAAACAATGGGCTCGTCTTTGCAAAAAACGGGCCGTTTTTGGGAGGTTGTAGAGTGCAAAAACTTTTTTTTTAATTGCCTCTTCAAAACTTTGATGTGTCTTATACTCCGGTGCATCTTATACTCTGAAAAATATGGTAGATAGAAGAGAGAGAGAGAGAGGGAGAGAGAGAGAGAGAGAGAGAGAGAGAGAGAGAGAGAGAGAGAG